GGGGGGGGATAGGCATGCATTCGGCAAGTGGCCAGGTCACAATTTAGTGACTGCTTCAGACGATGGGGAAACTAACCACATGAGAGAAGAGAGCACCCACACCTCGCAACTGCCGAACCCATGGCCACATATCCCTGTCGCGCACAGATTGCACTGGTGTAGTCCGGTTTGGAGGAAGTGGGTGACCGATTCCTGGACTTTCCAAGTGGTGACACACGGTTACAAGATACTGCTGAAGTCTCCATCTCCATCGTAAGTGTCTCCCCCATTGAGAGCACGGCCAGGGGGTTCCCGCAAGGCGGAAGCAATCAGACAGGAAGTAGACAGTTTGCTGGAAAAGAGAGCCATACACAAAGTAGATCAGCCGGAATAAGTCCAGGCTTCTACTCAAATGTGTTTGTAGTACCAAATCTACAGGTGGCGCGCGTCCAGTTCTGGGCCTCGGCAGACTGAATCAGTACATGTACGTGCACCTTGATTGGTTCCGCATAGCGATGCCATACACCATTCTTCTATCCATCAATCGTTTCGACTGGCTAGTCTCACTCGACTTAAGCCAGGCCTACTTACATACCTATGCACCCGGCGAGTTGCCATCTTCTTCGCGTCTCCCAGTTGTATTCGAATCTCGGGTGCACCCCCCTTTGGGTTATGCACAGCCCTCTACGTTCCACCAGAATAGATGGAACAGGTGGTGCTGCTGCTTCACCAAACGTCAGTACACATCAATCCATATCTAGACAACCGGTTATTACATAACTCTAACAAGGGATTATTAGCCAAGCAAGTAAGGCTAACACAGGATTTACTTCAAGATTTCCCCTTACATCATGAACCATATGACCAAGGCAATGAGGCGGCGCCATATTGGCTCACCTATCAGTCTTGGTGCGATCAGCTCATCAGATTTTTTCCTCTCCCAAGTTTTTGGTCTGACTAGCTGTCACCTGCGTTACAGCCGACTCGGTGGCTAGGATAAGTCTTTCTGATTTTTTACCCCACTATCGCCTTTTTGTGTGCACTGCTTTACAAGAAAGAAAGAAACTTTTTAACTGTAGATTTCTCGCCCCCCTGCTGATCGGAGGGCTTCATCGCAGTCTGCTCCTGCAGGCGGCGGTTTGCTCGATCATACCAGCAATTGATCCTAATGACCCGATGTTCAGCACCCCCCCACCCTTGATCCTGAAACAGTCACTCTTGATAGGACTGTCACTTCCGGGATCCAGACGGCGGGATCCAAAGCAATACCAACTGCAGATCTCTCCTGGTCTAGCCGAGTGCTGGACGTAGCGGGGAACACAGACGGTGTTGATGGGCGGACCTTGGTCCCCTGCAAGATAGAGGCCTAAGTCCTTAGGGTAGGGCAATTTTATGCTCAACCTTTTCCGCTGGACCAAGCGCTACCCAATCGAGCAGTGTTGATAACCTGAGCCAGCAGATTATGGAATCAAAACTTACACCCGATCGGATTTTTGGATTCCTCCCCTGACCCCAGTATCACTAATCTTTTGGTTTGGTGGGACGGGCAAAGGGGGTGGCAGCATTCATGGAATATTTTGACCAGTTAGTAGGAAACAATCAACGCAGAGTGGAGCAGAGCAGAGTGGCGACCCTCAACCTTCAAGTTGTGGCCAGCCCTCTGGAATGCATTGTTTTGCGCGGCCAGCACTCTGAAGTCTCTAAGGCCAAACGCACCAGTCTCCTAGACTAGTAGACACAGCCATTGGTGGGACACCACACGGCTATGTGGGATATCGTGCAGTTTGATCTGGCTCTCGTGGCAGGGGCTGCCTCTGTACAGCGGAATGTGGTTTTGGCTGTTTTCACTTTGCGCACCACTGCCTGAGTTACGCAGGCTGGACCTTCCCACCCTCTTTTTTTTGAGAAGGAGCAGTCTTGGTGCTTCAGGATCCCACTGACCAGTTGGTACAGGTGAGACCCGCGAGCCTGTTTGGCTTCTGCCAAGGGCAAGTGGTAAGGACCCCAAGCTGAGAAACATAACGACCAAAGTCGGCATTCACTGGCCAGAAGTAGCCAGGAGGCAAGCGTACCGGCCTTTCCGGGGAGTAAAGAGTTGCAACGCACCCCCCAGAAAGAAGGGAGCAGGTGGTGGTCTCCCCCCTCTTCCTCTATAAAGAGCCATTGTTCGAAACGTCTAGCTATTTTTAATAGTTATTTAGGACTACGATTACCAAATATTATCTTCTATATATCTTTTCCCCGAGGGTTGCCTACCCAGCTCGCAGGGGAAGCAGGTTTGATGCTTCCGTTTGTGACGAGGGGGACGGGCATATGTTTGGTGGGAGGCAGAGTCGGAACCTATCGACTTCTACAGACCTCGCAGGGTCTCACGTCGGCGGAGGACAGATGACCCTTGATGTGGAACCGCCAAACCCACACACCTCTGTCACACATATGATTCATTGTTCGTCGTCTGTGTTTTCGACTTCTTTATGAAAACTATAAGCCTGAATGCTTTGATACTTGGTGTATATGTACAGTAATGGTACTTTTAGGCAGTCACTTAGACTAAAACTAATTTGCATATCACCCATGCAATAATGTTTTCGATATTTCACGGTCGATATGCAAATGAACATCGTATTTCCATTGGCTACCGAACTATTTTTATTTTGTAAACGCATTTTCATCTGCTATTTTTATCCAGTTCAAATCGTTCAACAACATTTTTGGCATGTCAGGTGTACATCACATGGAATACCCTGATTGGGAGAACTTAATGCATGTTGACCACCTGGAAAGTGAGTTTTATAAGCCTTGTAGAGCGTGAACGTTTCAACCGGTAACAAAGACTCATTCAATCCACAATCAGCAAGCAACATCACAAGCGATGACCGCTGTTGACGAAAGTCATCCCGCCAGTGGAGTACAGCAGTTGCACAGCATGTTTGCCAATTCTGTGGTGGAACTTTTAACTTCAACATAAACTGTCTTAGTCATCCAGTTCAAGTTCTGTTGTTAACAGCGGAGCTATCTCAGCCGACAGACTGCTTGTTTTTTTGTCCTTCATTATTTTTTTCAATTATTACGAAAAATTGGGTCTTGTGGATATTTGACTCCCATGTGCGAAGCACAAAAGGGAGTCTTTGCAGCTACCCTGTCTGTCTGTCTGTCTGTCTGTCTGTCTGT